TGGTTGGTTGGTTGGTTGGTTGGTTGGTTGGTTGGTTGGTTGGTTGGTTGGTTGGTGGGTGGGTGGGTTGGTGGGTTGTTTGGTTGGTTGGTTGGTTGGTTGGTGGGTTGGTTGTTAGATAAAGGGATTGTTTTAACTCCATGTTAGAAGCTTTCCACTACTCAGCCTCCTGACCTCTGCTGACATGTAGACCAGTTCTGCAGATGACTAAGCTTGTGAGATGCAGTCCTCTGTAGTTCTCCACACAGACACACATCTCTTTAGCTGTACACGCTCCCAACAGTCTTACAGGAAGTCAGTTATCCAGGCTGTCATAAATACATCCACCTGAGCAACACTGGAGAAATCAAAAGGCTGCCTGCTTTAAATAAAAGATAAATGTCTGCTCAGAATGTTTCCTGATTTCATAATTGACCATGCATGCATTAATTCTCCATTTAGGAGAGTATGTTTTTATGATTTAAAATCCATTGCTGAGCATCCTGTTCCACACTATTGAAAATGGAAAGAAATGGATGTATTCAGAAGGTTGTGACCAAAGAGTAAATAAGCATTCTGAGAATCTCTGAGGTGTTTAAAAGTATGAGAGCATTCAGAGTGCTTTGTGCACTCTGATTTATTAAAAATACACTGGGGTAAAATGACGCACAAATGACAGGCTTTGAAAACCTTCTCTTGAGCAATTCTGTTTTTTAATTAAATTTTATTTTTGTTTGCATTCACCTTTTTATTCAGTTTTTCTTGTGCCATTTCCACAATTGAAGGATAAAAGATTAAAGTATGTAAAAAGTGCATAGTACATTTTTTTCAGTCAGCTGAGACTCAGTGGTTATGTCTTATCATTGGTATGAAATGACTCTAAAAGAGAAGCATGAGCCAAMTTTCAATCTTTTTCTTCAGCATTTTAGTGATTTGATTAAACTAATTGTGCCGTAAAGCTGCTTCAAATTTTATTCAAAAGCCTGAAACCAGTGAAGTAGAACTACCTCTCCTGAAAATATTGTTTTAAATTCTGAGTCATTGTAGTTTTACTCTGTTATATTCAAATCAGAGAGATATAACTACAGATTTTCAACAATAATAAGAAGTTGAAAAAACAATGGAGTCAAATGAGCTCATCCTATCTTCCTGCTGTTTGAATATSACCAGTTGCAACATGATCAGGAGTCACAAATACCAGTTGGCATTGAAAAGAGCATTCATAAATAATAACTCTGGTATAAACCAGYATTTAGTAAGTAGACTGGTTGCTTTAAGATATCAGTTTACAAAACGTCAAGACATAAAGCATAGTTTTTGTWGATGAATTGTCTTCCTGTGATGTGATCTGCTACAGAAATTCAGAATTCATTACAAGAGGGGGATTAGTGTGCCCCAGGGCAGCTGTAGTTTACCATCATCAGTGTGTGAATGAATAATGTGAGTGTCCTAAATATCACTTTATAAGACAGATGCATTATTTATTATTATTATTATTATTATTATTATTATTATTATTATTATTATTATTATTATTATAAGTTATACTGAAAAGACATTTAATTTGATCATTTTTAAGGTCATATTCACACCTGAGACATTTGGTTCACTTTAAACGGACCAGAGTTCGTTTCCAGCGTTGGTCCGGACTTTTTGTGCAGGTGTGAATACACTCATGCAAACTGGTGTGGATCAAACAACCGGACCGAGACCTGCTTTTTGATTTGGTTTTGGTTCGTTTCCAGACGAACTCTGGTGCGGTTCACTTCTGGTGTGAATACAGACTGGGCTGGAACCGAACCAACTTCATAAAACATGCACCTTTTTTGGACTTCACAGGCCACCGTTGCTAAGCTGAATAAACTGAAATCATACCTGTTTCGTCATCTTCTGCTTAGCAGCTCTGCTCTGCTGGCAGCTTGTAGTGGGTCAGAACACACAGAGCACCTCGTCTCCTTTGGGTTGAGGCACACATTTACTTACACCGCTCCAAAAGCAGAATATCATTGCAAAACCACCCTTAAATTAGCATTTTTGGCATTTTAAATGGTATTGCAGTTGTACTATCAGCACAAATGTGCACATCAGAACCGCAGCACGCAGAACTTCCATGTTTTTTTCTGGGTCTGTGCGCTCAGTCCCGCTCCCGTCCTTTCAATTCAATTCAATTCAATTCAGTTCAGTTCATTCAGTTCATTTATATAGTGCCAGGTCACAACATACATTGTCTCAGGGCACTGTACATGAAAAAGAACAACCTAAAGAAGAAACCAGCAGGCTGCTTTGAATCACTTCATCACAGTCTCCCATCCTGAGCAAACGGTGGAGAGGAAAAACTCCCTGCTAATCAGGAAGAAACCTCCAGCAGAACCAGGCTCAGGACAGGCGGCCATCTGCCTCGACCAGCTGGTTGAGGGACAGGAAAGAGACACAAACAAACACATGATGAAACAACTTTCTGTCCAATGGGAGCAATGATCGTCACCCTYGTGGCTTTGTTTACAAGTTATAGTTYGTTTGCAAAAAAGCACAATGTGAATGCAAACCGCACCAAATGAAAATAATAAAGTCCACTTTTGGTCCGGACCAAAGGACTTTCCTGGTGTGAATACACCCTAAACCAATAATTTTACAGATTGACTGTCATTTTCTGCTGCCTGTTCAYGGTCGTTGCATGGAGGCAACAAGTCCTGGAGGGAAACACATTCATCCCCTGTCCAACGACAGACTCCAGCTCCTCCTGGGGGATCCTAAGCCATTTCCAGGCCTGAAAAGATTTACTGTGTAATTCTTCCAGTGTGTTCTGGAGCTGCTATAATGTCTCCTCCAAGTGAGATGTCAAATCAAAAGGCAGAACCACCTCAGCTGGTTTTGTTTTCAGCGCGGAGCAGCAGCTCTRTTCTGAGCTCCTCCTGGATGRCARAGTTCCTCATCCTATAGCTGAGGCTGAGCCGGTCCACTTTACGAAGGAAGCTTAATACATGGGCATGTATCAGGGAATCACATACCGACATACCTCATGAGCTTTAAAACATAGTTGGAGCAGTAAATCAAGAGYGTCCCTTTCTGCTCAGCTCCTCCTTTACCACAGTTGACAGGAGTCGTGTTTTCATTACAGCTGACTAAACGCCCACTCTATTTCCATCCATCTCTCAGGCTGTCCCACCATCCCTCATAAAGACTTCCAGATACTTGATCTCCAGTCGAACCATTTCACATTTTTCTGTTTGGCAATTTGACCAGCATCAGCTTTT